CCTCCTGCCCTGAACACTCTAGGCAGCGATCTATTAAACTCACAATGTCACAGGAAAATATTTCCTATCTAGAAGCATCTGCTCGTTTCCCTCAAGTCCGTAGATCCTATGCAGATACTGCTAGAACCCTTCCTTCATATGAGCATCAGACTTCCTGTCCTATTTCAAACCCTCCTTTACCTTCAGTTGTCCCCTCACAATCTCATTCTTACAGGAAGACTACATTCACTCCAAGACTTTCGCCAAATCCAGCATCTAGTCATGGATATGATAAATCTGCCCATGAGGCAATAATAAATACCCCTCCTTCTTCATCTACTAATGGTTGTGCTATAATAGGGCGAAGTATTTCCCCTAATGATAATCTCTGCGAACTGATGGTCTCCATGCTTATAAGTATGCTTTCCCGTTTCAGCGACATGGATCTCCCACTCGCCCTCCGCCAAAAACTTACTGAGCTCATTTCCTTAACAAATAACCTTCCCTCCAATACTTCAGTGGAACTGCCGGAGCATTAAAAATAAGAAAAACGAACTAACATATCTTATTAATAAATACCATCCCCTTATCCTAGCCATCCAGGAGACATGGCTAAAGCCTGGCTCCCATTTTAGGGTCTCAGGCTATTCATGTCTCAGGGATGATAGAAGTGATGGTCATGCTGGCTCTTTCATTCTTATCTCAAAATCAATTACTTATACATTAATTTCCCTTCCTTCTCATAGTCCTTCAATTAATGCTGTTGCAGTTAGAGCTCATAACATTTCTTTCCTTTCTATTTACATTCCCGAACCTAATCTAAATATCTTATCGGAACTTACGAGGATTATATCCTCCATCCCTCCTCCTATGGTAATTCTTGGTGATTTTAATATGCACCATACTTTATGGGGTTCCCATTTTTGTGATCCCTGGTCTTTTACATTCTTAGACATCATTGATGATTTAGATCTCTGCCTCCTTAACGATGGTTCACCTACACGTAGAGTTTCCCCCCTCCAAAATCCTAAAAGTGCAGTAGATCTGTCACTCTGTTCTCCTGCCCTGTCATCCCTTCTTTCTTGGAGAATATTACCCATTTCCCATGGCAGTGATCACTTTCCTATTGTTATCAATCCTCCTAACTCCTATACAGTCAATGTTCCATTCAAACCTAGGTTAAAATATAACACATCCAAAGCAAACTGGCATCTGTATTCCACAGTTCTAGATGAAGAACTTTCATCCCTCCCTACGGTTCAGAAAGAGAATGTTCTTCAGGTGTATTCTACTTTCAAAAATGCTATTTTATCTGCTGCAAATAAGACAATTCCCATTAAAAAACCTTATAAAAATAATGCTCCTTCACCGCCTTGGTGGGATCAAGATTGTTCTGTAGCATGCAAGAAGAGAAAGGAAGCTGAACTAAGATATTCCCGCTCAATGAATTTTGATAACTATATTTTTTATAAAAAAACTGCTGCTGAAACATTAAAATTACTGTCTGAAAAGAAAAAGGCTGGATGGCTTAAATTCTGTGAGTCACTGTCGCCTAGGACTCATCCATCACTGGTCTGGAAAAATATAAAAAAATTCCGATGTTCAGTTTCGGCCCCTGAAAACACAAATTCTAATGATCAGTCTTATTGGCTAGAAAATTTTGCTAGTAAACTTGCTCCTCCTTCAGTACCATCTTACAATGAATGTATAGTGTTCCAATCACAGTCCCTGCACTATCAACACAGTTTTGACTCTCCTTTCTCTTATGAGGAGTTATATTCTGTTCTTAATGTCCTTAAAGACTCTTCACCAGGAATCGATGGAATCCCTTATTCTTTTATTACTAATAGCAGTGAATCTACTAAAGCCCATCTTCTTTCTATTTTGAATTATATTTACATGTCCGGTATTCCTCCTGAAGAGTGGAAATCCCAAGTTATCTTACCTATTCACAAACCAGGTAAGCCCTACACTGATCCCGCAAGCTACCGCCCTATTGCTCTTTCTTGCACCATGGCCAAAATCCTTGAACACCTAATAAAAAATCGTTTAGAATGGTTTCTTGAAAGCAAAAATCTTTTAGCAAAAAGCCAATTTGGATTCCGAAAGGGCTTAAGCACCATGGATAGCATTAGTACTCTAGTTACTGATATTCGTATAGCTTACTCTAAACATGAATACCTTGTTGGAGTCTTCCTAGATATCTCGTCTGCATATGACAATGTACTTCTTCCTGTGCTCAGGCAAAAAATGCTTAATCTGAGTATTCCAGTGAGGATAGTAAATTTTGTCTCTAACTTTCTCTCTTCTAGATCCATTTATATTGACAGTCAAAATTCTCTACTCCCGCCAAGAATTGTATGGAAGGGTCTCCCACAAGGCTCAGTACTTAGTCCTTTACTCTATTCTATCTATACTTATGATTTAGAACTTTCTGTTAACTCCTTCTGTAACATCCTCCAATATGCAGACGATATAGCTATATATATTTCCCTAGATAACCTCCTTGCAGCATGTTCTCGCTTGAATATATCAATGTCTTATTTACAGGATTGGTTAACTGATCATGGTTTGTCTTTGTCTGTTCCCAAAAGCAGTGTTGTAATCTTCTCTCGCCATAGGCAAGTCCCTGAAATCAACATTCTCTATAATAATGAACCTATCCCAATTAGGGAGAGTGTAAAATTTTTAGGAGTTATTCTCGACTCCAAACTAGCCTTTTCTCATCACATCAACTATGTCTCCAAAAAATGTGAAAAAAATATAAACATTCTTCGCGCTTTATCGGGTGTCTGGTGGGGCTCCCACCCATTCTCCCAAAAAATACTGTACAACGCCCTTATCCGTAGTCATTTAGATTATGGATGTTTTGTTTTGGAACCGTGCAATAAGTCTTCCCTAAAGATCCTAGACAGGATTCAATCCAAAAGCCTTCGTATAATCATCGGGGCAATGAAATCTTCCCCAATAAATGCTCTCCAAGTTGAATGTGTGGACCCTCCCCTTTATCTAAGAAGGCAATATCTTTCGGACCGATACTTTTTTAAAATCTACCAACTCTCTTCCCACCCTCTCATTTCTAAACTACACCTCCTTTTGGAATATATTTCGTCAAAACATTACTGGTCTCATAAAGAATCTCCCTGCTTATCCAACAGTTTGGTAACATTACTCCTCCTACCATACCCAGTATCACAATTCAAGTCCTGCCCCATATTTGATATCCCATATGATGCAATCATTTTCCAACCAAATATCCACCTCGACCTTGGTATTGAGAAAGATTGCCCTATAGCAAATAGTAAAGTAAGTAGAGTCATAGATAATTTATGGAAAGGCTGGCTTATTATATACACTGATGCCTCCAAAAAGTCAGATGAAAGTTGTACTGGAGCAGCAGTTTGGATTCCCAGATTCAAAATAATTCTTAATTTTAAATGCCCTTCTATTTCTTCCACTTTTACTGGCGAGGCCACGGCAATTCATGAAGCTTTAATATATATAGAAGCACACAACTTAAATAAGTCAGTTATTCTTACCGACTCCAAAAGTTGTTTGTTAGCAATTTTGTCAAACCAATTCCAAAGTAAATATAAGATACCCTTGATCCTCAAAATTAAACACACATTGTATAGATGTCATCTCAAGGGCATACAGGTTTCCTTAGCTTGGATTCCAGGTCATAGTGGCATCAAGGGCAATGAAACAGCTGATCTGATGGCTAAAAATGCCAGTCGAAATGGTTTGCCATGTAATTTAACTTACTCCTCAGACATAGTGTTACTTGCAAAGAAGAAGTTAAATAATAATTGGAATACACTATGGAAAGCCACTCAAAATATAAAAGGTAAACACTATGCTGCTATACAATGTGCCATCCTTCCAAAACCATGGTTTTTCAAATTCAATAAAGCTAATAAACATTCTACATCAACTATTTGTAGACTTAGAATTGGCCACGCTTGTACACCAGTACATTTGGCCAAACTGAGGATTAGGGATAGTTCCCTCTGCGAATGTGGGTTGGATGAGGGAACCTCCGACCATATTTTTTTTAACTGTCCTAAATTATCTTGTTCACTCTATGATTATCTCCCTCCTGACATCCCTCGTCCTATAAATTTTGATTCACTTTTAACCTACACAAACACTCCTTATGTATATATTCTGTGTGATTTTATTAACACTAATGGTATAAAAGTTTAATGTTTGTCAATACTAACATACTAATGTAGTTATAGCAACCGTGTTTGTCATTTGTTCTAGGTAATTCAACAGTATAACCATTAGTACTACAAGATAAAAGGGGAAAAAATTGGTTTAAAGGAAAAAAGATACTTGTACTATCACAATCTTCTCTTGTATATGGGCATAGTATTTGTAACTACTGAGCTTCTACTCAATAAACGCTTTCACGCTGACATTGGCGAATGATCAAAACCGCCATAAAAAAGAAAGAAGAAGAAGAAGAATAAATGGTTAACTATGACATTGAGACGTCAGACACCTCAGCCCCTGATGTCAGACCATGTGTGCTAAAAACGTGGGGAATATAAAATAAGTTAATATATGTGATAAAATCTGAAAAACTAGTTTTATTTAAATGTGTAGTGTTTGCGTAAATATAAGAAATCATTAAGGACTGGTAGTTCTAGCGATAAGCTTGTTTAAACAAACAAAAATCTTCCCCTTTATTATATTAGTGTAGATGTAAAATATTGTCTTAAGCTAGCTACATATTTGAATATTAAGGTTTGGTTTCATAAGGATTGATTATGATATATTTTGTAGGTTGCTTTGTGTTTAATGTTATGATGCTAATATTTTTCATCTGTTCAAAACTAATGAGATATAAGTAAAATATTTGTTCGAAATTGGTGTGACAGTACAATTCCAAGATTTGAACTAATACTGTTTTTATTATTACATTTCAGTAGTAGCAGAACATAATTATCGAGTTCTCTGGGCATTGAGAAGAAATCTGTCTAATAATAGAATTTAAAATAACAACTATCTTAAACATGAATTCTGTCACTGATAAACCTAACAGTGCGATAGACTTAAATAAAGAATCAAGTAATAATAATGCTACCCAACAATTTTCATCAGTGTCTTCAGATAATAATTTGTGCAATAACATTAATGAGAATCAGGGGATAAAGCGTCAGACTTCAAAAGATAGTTGTACAAATAAAAAGAAAAGGTGTTTTGGCAAAAGTGATGATAAAATCAATTTAAGAGAAGAAAGATTTTCAGATGACAGTACAGTAGAGGAGGAGAAAGAAGTTTACTCTTTATTAGTTTCAAATATGCCTTACCAATGGAGTTGTGAGCAAATATCAGATTATATTCAGGAACATGTAAGTATTACTTGTTTGTTATCATCACATTTTTTTTAAAGCTGTGGTAGTTAACGTAGGTACATAGCTAGGTAATGGCTTAGCACTTGCTGTAAATGCAAAAGAAAAAACTCATGGCAGTGTGTCAACCAAGTTTAGAAATGAAATGAACAACACAGCGGCAGTGTGTTTATTTACACAAATCATTTTTTAATTCCTTTCGAACACCTACATTGCACAGCCCAGTGGAAACATCCTCGATCTAAAATTTTCTCTCTAAAAAACTTTCTCTCGGCTCTCATTTTTGAGAAAGAAGAAGAGAGCTGGCGAAAAAAGAAGTTACAGCCTATATGCATAGACATCATCATCATTATCATTATTATCATTATTCAAAAGCCCTCAGTCCAGCATAGGCCTTTCCCAAGGAATGTCACAAAACATGGCTCTGAGCCACCTGTGTCATCATTCCAACATGTTTGGGCTTTACTTACTTATCATCAAGAGGGGAAGCCTGTGTCCAGCAGTGGGACGTATATAGGCTGTGTAACTTAACCCGTAATTGCTAATTAGGACCTTTTTACATGGTAGAGTCATGCTGCAGCTTTATTACATTTGTACCACAAGTGGGTCGGCTTGACCAGGAAAGGACCACACTCATTGAATCATCATTCATCATCATTACAGCCCTTCACAAGTCCACTGCTGAACATAGGCCTCCCCCAAAGAATGCCACAAAGCATGGTTCTGAGCCACCTGCATCCATCGACTTCCTGCATGTCTTACCAGGTCGTCACTCCATCTCGTGGGGGGACGCCCTACACTTCGCCTACCGGTACGAGGCTGCCACTCGAGAACCTTTCTTCCCCATCGGTTGTCGGTTCTTCGAGCTATATGGCCGGCCCATTGCCACTTCAGCTTACTAATCCGTTGGGCTATGTCGGTTACTCTGGTTCTACTGCGGATATCCTCATTCCTAAGTTTATCACGCAGAGAAACTCCGAGCATAGCCCTCTCCATAGCTCGCTGAGCGACCTTGAGCTTCCTCATCCGGCCAGCAGTGAAGGACCACGTCTCAGTTCAGTATGTCATCACTGGCAACACGCACTGGGTGTACAGTCTCGTTTTCAAGGTTTGAGGTATACCTGACGAGAAGATGTGCCGTAATTTCCCGAACGCTGCCCAACCGAGTTGAATCCGTCTATTGACCTCTCGGTCGAAGTTGGACTTACCTAGTCGGACTATTTGTCCCAGGTAAACATACTCGTCAACAACTTCGAGCTTAGTGTTCCCAACACTCATTGAATAGCAGCATTAAATAGCAGCTTAATGTTGTGTAGAGAACTGGAGACACTTTTTACTGGAAACAAGGTATTCTATCTTAGTTTTCAAGGGTGACAACACATCTGCATTTTGATTCTTAATCAAGAATTGATGTAGATGTCTTTGGGCCATAACATCCACTTACCATCAGGTGAACTGTGTGTTTGTTTGTCACCCATATTTTATATAAAAAAAGGTAGACTATGAGTTAGGAACATATGAGACAAATGCTTGACTTCCAGCCCAAAAATTAATATTTTAGGTTTTTTCACAAATGTTGGCTCCATTTGAAATTCAAATTGACTAGGTTATAATTACGTTTTATAATGGCGAATTGTTTAAAATTTCAGTGTGTTGAGGTGTATGCATTAGAACAACTGGAGGGTGGTGATCCAGATTCCGGTCAGACCATAAGGCTTCTATTTTTGAATTTTGAGAAATGTAATCAGGCACGAAAACAGCTGAAACTGAAAGGAGTTGAAGGGCGAAAGCTAAACGTTAACTTCAGTGGTAACAGTTTTTAAAGAACTTATTATTAGATTTCTTTAGTGTGATAATTTTATATAATATTTATTTCATAATTTTTTTCCATAAAACTGAGGTGACAAATAAACTTTCAGTCCACCTGATGTTAACTGGCTACTGCAGCCCATGGACACCTGCAATCAACTTCAAACAAAGAAGGCTACATATATATGTTGTCACCTCTGAGAATTAAGTTGGAATATACTGTATAGAGGCCAGTATAATCACAGCCGTTTATAATAATAATAATAATAACCTGTTATAATAAATAATAATAATAAACCTAGTAGCCAGACTTTTATACCAGGAGCTCTGAAATACAGTCTCGTGGAGCAGAAATTGCCGTATTACAAATACTTGCCGGAAGCCGTGCTCGAAAATGACCGCACCAGGCTCTACTGAACAGGACTATTCTTGCAAATAAGCCTGATATTGTGCTCATGGACCGGGCACAGTCAAGGATATTTTTGGTCGACATTACCATTTCGTATGACAAGAACCTCGTGGAAGCCGAAACAGATAAGTGAACAAAATATCTGGACTTGGCTCATGAGGTGACCGACATGTGGGGTGGACTGCCGACCGAAATTATACCTGTAGTCGTTTCTGGTTATCTCAGGCGACTAGGACTCCGTGACGGATTGCTCCAAGCTCAAATGTAGAAGGTGGTACTCCTTGATACCGTCCGCATTGTTCCCCGTTTCTTTCCCTTTCCCCATAACCCTTGGCCGTTTGGTCTCCCCTGCCGAGGGCTACGATTTGGTTCTGTTTCTATTTATTATGTATTGCATGCCGTAAGCGCAAAGCGCGTCGGTATATTCTACTAGGGCCTAAAAATTAAGATACCAACGTTTTGTCGCATGAAATCGTATCTAGCAATCATATTGTACATATAAGTGATATAAAAAACACATTGTCAGAAAGATTGTTGAACTTATTAATATTTTTTATAAATTGATTAATTGCTATTTTTAAATAAAAATTTATCAAGTCCGCAAGGCTTGTAAACACGATAACTTTTGAAAATATCAATTGTTCAACTGATGAAGAGTTTAAAAAATAGATTTATTTTTTAAACTATAAGTACGCAACCCTCGTCGACACACTCCCGATATTTACAACGTTGTTAACGAGAGACTTGTGGACGATAAATCCGACACCTCCTTGGGACAGATGGTCGCCCTCCCGGTGATATAGCAAGTTACCGGATTCGAGGATTACCGTGTCCTCCCCCTCTCTCGGATAATCCTATAATATGCCAGCGCAACTTGTCTATCTCTTCTTCCAGCTCCACGACCTTCTCGTCAGGCCTCAGGGTGCGTGCGTTGTATGTTGCCAGGTCGAGTCGTCTTAGGTGGCAACCGAACCTCCACCGGAGATTCGTAGCACCCCCTGCCCCGCCGTTACCATGGTCGCCACCGTAGCCAGGAATAGCGGGGCCGCCGGGGACTGGGGGCCATTTATTATTGTCATAAATTTTTATTGTTAAATACGCAATATTCGAATAACCAAATTTCTTAACTACTTGATTATAAGATTATTTTTTTTATCACATTATTTTAAAAGCACAGACTAAATAATAGTAGTACGTACTAAAAGTAAGTAGTATAAATTTTTTCGTCATGGGAGTCATTTTCATGGCTTTCGCGGGTATTGAAGCCGATAGTGCTGTCGAAATGTAAATCCAAGGTGGCGGCTGCAATAGGTATCAATTTTAAATCTTGGGTGTTATTTTCATGGGCTTCGAGGGTGTTGAAGCCGATAGTGCTGTCGAAATGTAAATCCAAGATTACGGCTGCAATGGGTATCAATTTTTTCATCTTGGGTGTCATTTTAATGGTTTTTGAGAGAGTTGAAGCCGATAGGGTTGTCGAAATGTAAATCCAAGATGGCGGCTGCAATAGGTATCAATTTTTTCATCATGAGCGTCATTTTCATGGTTTTCGAGGGTTTTGAAGCCGATAGGGCTGTCGAAATGTAAATCCAAGATAGCGGCTGCAATAGGTATCATTTTTTTCGTCATATTTAAATTGTATTTGTAAGCTAGTTATTTAAATTCGATTGATTGATCACTACAGAATCAAAATGTAAAAAAAAAAACAATATCAAAAACGTTTAAAGTTACAACGCTATTGATTCAATGGAGCGTCGGTAATTATGTCTTTAACTAGGCTTAGTTTCCGTAATGTTCATATTTATATTGTGGTTAGGTGTTCCGGCTACCGCACGCATGTTGATTTCACGGACTCTACATAAACCTACTTCAACGTTAAGTATAACTTATTACTCACATAAACCTCAGATCACGCATCGTTAAACATTGAATTTCAAAACATTTTGATGTTAAAGACGACTCGACACGATGATGAATCCGGTAACTGAGGAAAAATATTCTGTAGTAAGAGGAAATGCGGGCCGAGAGACTTGAAAATTAGATATTGCATGCCGTAAGCGCTAGGCGCGCCGGTATGTTCTACTAGGACCTAAAAATTAAGATTCCAACGTTTTCTCGCATGGAATCGTATCTAGCAAGTGATATAAAAAGCACATTGTCAGAAAGATAAATGATTGTTGGACTTACTAATATTTTTTTTAAATCGATTAATTGCTATTTAGTACACAAGAAAAAGGGTTTTAGTGGCCTATGGTGTGGATTTATCAAGTCCACATGGTATCGTAAACACAATAATTTTTGAAAATATCAATTGTTCAACTCAATCTATTTTTTAAACTCTTCATCTATCATGTGGGAAGCCATGGAATGTAAATGGCAGTCAAAATTTTGTTTTATTTAGTTATAATTATTTTTTTTCGGTTAATAAATGGCGGCATTTTCGGTGTCTTAAGACCGCCTTGTACTAATATATTTTACTAAATACACAGTGTCTCGCTCCGTCATTTCCACAAAACATACATATTATATAACTGGTCATCCCGGCCTCGGCCGCCGTCGTGAGTGTATATCGTATCGCTTGTTTGCAGCGAAAAGATCGCCGTAGAAATACGAAATATTCCAAAAACCAAATTTGATACATACTTGACCAAGGTAAGATATTATTATTATTTTTATAATCACAGTTTTTTATAACAACATTTTGTTTCGCTAAAAGCACGCAGGATTTATATATAAATATATGTACTTATAAACGTCTCGGCCTTTATAGACCTGAAAGTGTACTTGGGTATCTGCTAATGGAACTCCTCGACGAGGAGAACTAGATGTGCCGAGTTTGGGCTCGTTTTGTTTACCTTCGGACTTGATAGATGGACTTGAAAGTGTACTTTGATGACTGCTACTGGAACTCCTCGACGAGGAGAATTAGATGTGCTGAGTTTGGGCTCGTTTTGTTAGTTATGATAAGACCTTAACTCCGGACATGATAGAGTGAGTTGATCGTGTATTTTAATCACTGCTAATGGAACTCCTCGACGAGGAGAACTAGATGTGCCGAGTTTGGGCTCGTTTTGTTTACCTTCGGACTTGATAGATGCACTTGAAAGTGTACTTTGATGACTGCTACTGGAACTCCTCGACGAGGAGAATTAGATGTGCTGAGTTTGGGCTCGTTTTGTTAGTTATGATAAGACCTTAACTCCGGACATGATAGAGTGAGTTGATCGTGTATTTTAATGACTGCTACTGGAACTCTTCGACGAGGAGAACTAGATATGCCGAGTTTGGGATTGTGTTGTTAGTTATGATGAGACTTTACCTCCGAACTAGATAGAGTGACTTGAAAGTATACTTTGATCACTGCTACGTATATCCTTGACGAATAAAATTACAAATTACAATTTTTTTTTATAATTTTCACTCTCATATGAGCATTATGTGTCGTGCACTTTTGGATTTTAAAAAACTTTTTTTTAAGTTGAAGTTTGACAAAATGATCGGAAAATTGGAAGTATAATAAGGTTATTAGTGAAAACATGTGTGTATTTAAACTACTTTAAAAAATTCCGTATAATCATGTTATACGTAATTTTTTTAATGCGCTTAAGGCATGCCCTATTGGATTTACCAATTTTTTTCTTATGTATTTATTTTATTGATGTTTATGTATGTTTATCATTTTCATTTACAATTATATATTTATACAGCCCAACCATATGAGAAAACTATATAGATATCCTACATAATAATTAAAAAAATGTAATAATAATAACATAATGCCGGACGAAGTAGCTGAGGCTGTCCGTAGGGCCCCGAACAGGAAAAGTTCGGGACTCGATGGGCTGCATCACTACTGGCTGAAGGGGTTTGTGGTATGTCACGCTGTGCTCGCCCGACAGTTTCAAGAGATTTTGGTGACCTCTTTGGGGCAACTGAGGGTTTTGTCTGTGTGATACAGGATCAGGTTATTAAGACCAACAGTTGTTAGGATGTATCTCTAATACTTGCACAGGCGCAAGCTTACTAGCTTGCGCCTGTGCAAGTATTGTAGCCAAAATTCCACACCAGGAGCTCTCTCTGAAGTTATGGTTTCGTGGACCCGAAAGAGCCTTATTATATGTACTTACCGGAAGCCGTGCTCGAAAATGACCGCGCCAGGGTCTACTAGGACCGGGCCATCATCGCAGACAGGATTATTCTTGCGAATAAGCCTGATGTTGTGTTGATGGACCGGGCACAGTCAAGGATATTTTTGGTCGACATTGCCATTCCGTATGAGGAGAACTTTGTAAAAGCTGAGACAGATAAGCAAACTATGAATGTGGAATGTATAAATTTATCACCAAAGAGCTCAAAAAAAGACTACACCTACTCGTAATATTACTACTATCAGAGGAAATAAAAGACCGGCATTAAACTCTCCTCCAAAAGCAAGTCCGGTTACAAGTGAAAACGTTCGTACTATTGTCCAAGACGTTATCAAGAAAGAGTTCAATGATATGCTAAAACAACTAAATAATAGTATGATCGGTGTTATTACTAAGGAGCTGGAACCTATAAAAAACGAAATGAGGGACCTTAAAGAATCTAT